ATTGTCATATATATATTACCTTTTGTGTGAAAGGTTGATAAGTGAGTGGACTTTTAGCTATTAGTTTAGAGATCATGTTTCTATCTATGATATCAAGCAAGAAGTGACTTTATCCAGGTCTTGGTGGTGTGACAAAATGGTATCAGAGCCCTAGGTTTGAATACCTTGGGACAAGTGAGTGGAGGTTTGGACCTCTCATTAGTTGGTAGATTATGTGTAATTTTCTTGCATCAAGCTATGGCGTTAGTATATTGGGTATTTATCCAAAGGGGTTGAGATCGACACCATGGTTAATGGTTGGCTGGAAATGTTGTGCAAATGACAGACTGAAAGAGGACACCCGTGAGTAAATAGTTTATGTATCGTCTTTTTCATGAAGTGTCGGAAATTCCACTTGAGGACGTTGCTATAATTGTGGGGGCTTAACATGTACTTTGTTTTTTTCTTTTTCTTTTTTGTTCTTGAGTTATCTACTCATCCAAGGCTTGTGTTTATTGTTGAAAATCTTGAGATTCATAGTGTGGTGGCTTATATAATGGTTTCCATACCATTTTACCCGGTAGCTATGTATGATTGACTAACGACTTTTGAATGTTTATCAAGTGTTTTCTGAACCGAAATTATGGAATTATTCTGGATGAAATTTAATTCTTCTACTTATTTCGGTTACACGTAGTGCCTTTAAAAAAATAATAATAATAAAGGAAATATTTGTTGATTTAGTATTCTATATTATCTTTGTTACGCATTTGGGGATAAAGCATTTGAGGTTATTACAGATTGCATTGGGAAAAAAAAAATATTCACTCTGGAGGCTAATTTTCTTGTTTAGTTACTGTTTGGCTACTGAGAAAATGCAAGACTACGGAGGCAATAGGCATCTTTTGGGTTTTGAAGTCTAACATGTGAAACAGTCAGGAATGAGAAACTAGAATCTTTATTTAGGTCTGGCCATTTCAAATTATCTGAGGTGACTTAGGTAACTCATTCAGGAAAATAAACTCGATTTATATTGTTGGATATTTGGTTGGATAGTGACTGTATAGTTTTGATTCATGGTGGGACTGTTTCTATATGGGCCGATGGCTTAGTAAAGAATAGGACTAAAAGTTGTTTCCTAAATCTCTCTGAATTGACAAGAAGTTGATGATGACTGTGTCCACATCATTTTGGTGATAGTTATTTGTTTAACTTACGACCATACAGGTTCTACTGTTGTTTCCTAGCATTGTTTGCTTTTTTTCATTACACCATTACTACTTTTTATCTGTTAAGTTGTGATTTACATGGAGAGGCTGATCATCAACTAAACTAGAATCTAAAGGAAGTAATGTTTGGTTAATTCGAAGGAGACAAGATTCTGTTTGGTGATACGACTAAAGTAGTATGAGACTGCTATTGTAGTATCTGACTAAATTAATTGTGGATCTGCTGTGTGTTGTCAATTACGGGTTATATAAGGTTAAGGTTTTAATCCTAGTAGAGTTACTCTTTATCAATTTGGTTGGAACTTCGGAAGTAATTTGCTTGAATGTGGATTTTCAATAGATCTATTAAAAATATTAGGATCTTCAAAAAGAAATGAGTTGTAATTAAAGATCGATGTAGAAATGCGAATTGAAGTTTTATGTGGTACTTATAATGTCCTGGTATACATCATTATGGAAGAAAAGACTATATGAGTCTATATTGATATAGGGTAATGACTTATTAGGTGAGATTGATCTGTGCTATAGTTGGCTGAATCATTTTGAAGATTCTTTTGCATTGATTATCTCAGCAATGGCTATAGTAACAATTTGTGGGAGTGCTGAGTATTATCACAAGCAGTCTTAGTTTGGTGCTAAAAGAATGATGAACTTAAATTGTTTAAAAGGACTAATGTTTGAAAGGACTCGGATTGTTGCTAGATGGAAGAAGCTTACGATATTTAGGACCATAGTTGATTTCTATAAATGTTTGGAATTTTTTGGGGTGACTATAATAGATGTTGTATATGTGGAACAGGTTTCTTAAAGTCTTAAGGATTTTCGGTGCCTATACTTTTTCTATTTTTGGTATACGTCCGATGTTTTAGCAGGTGGATGATCTTCTGTGGGAAGACTCACTTTGCAATTGTAGGAGCATGCCTGCAGAATGTTTGAAGACACAGAACTCCCTATGTGAATCGGAGAGTTTTTCTCAGTATTATTCATTTATGGTGTGTTGGCCTTGGGGGAAAATAAGCTGAAAGTTGTAATGGTAAGATTTTAATAATTATTCAGTTGGTGGTGAGTGAGCAATCCCTTCATAGATTTTGCACGCATGAGAAGAATGGTGGGAGTGTTTACATTCTTTCCATTTCTCATAATTCATAGAATCTATCCTTTTGTTTCCACTCCCTTTGAGTGATTAAGGATATGTCTCATTAAATGATTTAGTGGATGGATACAGATGATGTTGAGTATAATATTGGTGAACTTAAAGGGAGGTTCTTTAACCACCATATTTGGACTTGGAATTTAGACATATCTAAAGAATTGAATTCTGTGTTTGGGATTGAAACACGGATAACTATTTGGAATGTTGCAAATCTTTAAATCATCATTCTTTTCTTTTGGGATTACTTGAGGATAGTGTAAATGATTTTCTTCAAATTGAAGAACTGTCATTGAAAGAAATCTAGAAACTTCCTTGTCTGGATGTTAAAATATATATATATATATATTTATTTTTAAATCCCTACTTGAAGTTGTGGAAGGAAAAGAAACTTAAGGATATATAAGATGATCCTCATATGATGGAACTTGAAAATATGAAGTTACGGAGTTAGTTAAACACAGTTTTCTTTTAGATGGTAGTAGGGTCCAACTTTATAGATTTGGAAGAGTATTCATCATGCAGCTAGCAAATTAGAACTCTCATATGGAATTTCTATTGGCTAAGCAGACAGGAGTTCTTTATCTATTGATTGCAACAAGTCAAGTACTTGATCTATTTTGATACCCAATTTGTACGGGATCAGAATAATTTTATGATTGTTTGCATCTTTTTTGCTGGTTGTCTATCGTGAAACAAATGGCCTGCTGAATCATCTCAATTCTGTTACGGAAGGGATTACATTTTAGGTTGAATGAAAACACAACAATGGTGGAATTGATCTACGTTTGGGGAGTATGGTGTGAGCATTATAATTGTGTTTGATGGACTATATATATTGAATGATAGGAAAAGGGTGTGAGGTTGGTTACATTATAAATTTCGAGGAAGAAACTTCTTTTAGGAGGGTAGAATGTAACATCCCGGATTTTAAATTAGGTTTTTGATTATGAGCTGTGACTTGTGTTCACTTGATTTAAACTCAATTAAGCCACTTGCAATAAAATTAAATATAAAAAGATTAAATTTCGCATCTTAATACAAGCAGTACCTAACAACAATATAACAAAATGAATATCTAACTGCTGCTCATGTTCATATGAATACAAAGTTTTATATATATAAGTACCTTCTTCATACGACCGTTCCTCCAATAATCCTGGAAATAGAGGAAAAATCAGAAAGTGATTGCTTCAACTTCTTATTGCCCTGTTTCTTCAACTGGCGAGAGATGGCCTTCGTGCGAAGAAGGCGAAGAGCATCGAGCTGCTTCTCGTAGTCAATGTAGGCCAAGAAATCTTGCTTGAGATGGCTCGGACGCTTAAGTCTGTATTCGAACTTCCGTCTCTGTTTCACGATCTCTGCTATCTCAAGGCGGGTGAAGAGTCCTCGACGTTCTAGGTCGTCGAGCTCGTCCACCATGCGCTCAAGCCTGTACTGTACCACGTCCGCCATATTCGATCACAGGTGCGTGTGAGAGAGAAGAGAGAAGAGACACAGAAAGTTCAACTCGTAGTGGACTATTGCTCTAAGTCACAGGATGGTGACGAATCAGAGCTCCGCACTCGTATTTGCGATTTGGGAGCGAAAACGGCATAAATTCGCGAACTCACTGTGAGTCCTCCTTCGTTTCAGATAGTCTATCAGGAATCCACACAAAAACAAATAAATCGCAGGCTACTGCATCAGAGAGAGAGCCAAAATCACATTCTTGTCGTAAATGCAGTTTAGGGTTTCCATTGCAGAGTGATAGCATTCGAAAGGCAGTTGCAGCGGCTGTGGATTCTGTTGGCGAGGAAAGGTGTTACCAGGGATTTTGGGTTCTAGTGTAACAAACCAATGGTGGTGCTCAGCTAATAAGATGGACTTCTAAAACATTAAAATTTTTATGGGCGAATAAAATATAAGGTTTTTTCTTTTCTTTTTTTTTTTTTTTTTTAACCGGAATAAAATATAAGTATATCTGGTCTAAATTTGCAGCCCTATTTAGTATTTGCTGCCCTTAATATGGGCTTGTTTTGGGATTTCAATATAAATTAAAAAAAAAAAAAACTATTTTATTTAATTATCAAGAATGTTTATTAAATTATACATTTCCAAATATATTATCAAATGCATTTTATATTTCACATAACATATATAAATAATATATAATTAGGTGTCGACCCTTTCTTTTTTATCTTCGAACAACTTTGCCTTGTCCCCCACCTGTTGAAAGGCTCTCTCAAATAATTTTGAACTTTAACGGTTTCACACTCTCTGTTCTTATTTTTACTTCCACTTCTTTACGTGACTTAAATCTTATCCGTCTGACTAATAGGTTAGAACTTGTGATTGAGAAGATTAAATCTGACTCCAATAATTTTCAAATAAAAACAACAAAAGATATATTCGTGACTGGAAGTTTCCAAATTCACTAGGTAGACTTCACCCACATCAATCAGCAGTCACAATACTCATCAAGGTTTACTACTACTTTTAGTTGTAATTCTATTTTTGTATAGTAATTTATAGATAAAGTTAATTTTTTGCTGTGCTCTACACTTGATTCAAATATCTGCGTAAAGATATACATACATATGTGTGTGTACACACACAGTTTTTAGCCAGGGGCTGCATGCAGAAGTCACTACTGATAAAAGTACAAATTTGAATTCCAGTTTAAGAAATTCTGCTATTTTTGTGTCATGGCAACACATCCATGCAGTCACAATGTCTACCATTTTACCTAAAACTGTGGCAAAATGCAAACCCCTTTAGTAGGCATAGTTCCAAAACAGAGTGTACACATCTTACAACACAGAATTGGTTTGACTCCGATAGGAGAGAGCCATAATAAGATCTTTGAATCCTGCTTTTGACAACCAAAGGCGAGAATACTTTTGAGTTCAATTCCCGCATGCCGCTAACTAATCAGACACTCAGACACCACCATTCTATAATTTCTATCTCCCGCGGCCACCATATAATATGACTTAAATAGGTCTAACGATGTCTTCACATCTACTGCCTGTAAAGAAGCACCACCATGGTAAAACGTCGCGGCTTGAGCTGATACATATACTTAAAAGAAAATGGAGCAAACCTTGAGAACAGATTTTCGGGGAAGGAACTAGGGATCTTCAAACTTGATCAATATCCGGTTCATCTGAGGTTGATGTTTCCTAACCTAAAATAAAATTAATGAAATCATATCAGAAACAGTCCAAAAATATTCCAAATGTGTTTACAGTCAGAATTTGTCAACCAAAAAGAAAGAAATCAAAATTGCAAGCCACTAAAGTTTTTCTTTCTACTTTTTCTTCATTTGTGTGAATATATATATATATATATATATATATATATATATATATATGGTGCTTAGATTTTTCTTCTATCCTTGATCCTTTCCCTAGTACTCTTCTATCCGCCATCTTTAACAATATTCATTTTCTCCTTTCTGATCAAAACAAAATAAAAATGCAAAGTCATTGCATCCTTTGAAAGACTACATAAAAGAGTGTCGTGGTGGACTATAATAGGCCCCTATATCAATTCAGCTAACAAAGCCTTCTACTTACCATTGGTCAAAGGCACCACCACTAGTCAAAGTGAACTGAAGGAACCCATTAAAGTGCATTTGTAAGCTAGACTAAGTGAAGCAGTTTCTTAATGAATTAAACAACTTAATTCAAAACAAATTGATGAATATGTTTTCCTAAGAAATATTTTAGCCAGAAGCAAGACTTACTTTTACACCCGCCATTGACAAAAGTTTGTGAGAAGCAATATACGTATGGTCTGAATTGTTCAACCTCTTCTCCACAAAATAGATAATTTCAGAAACACCTGACTGGGGAAAGAGAGATTCAGATCTTGATATGGCAATTACAAAACATGGAGAAAAATAAAGGAAAAGGTGTAAGAATCAATAATTGACTCAATTGAAACTAAAAAAGAAACACCATTCAGAAGTCTAAGAGAAGCTACATGCCACTAAGGGGTTCACTTTTCAGGAAAAATACTTGTATGCCCTTCAATCAATCAGCATGAAACAAAAAAAAAAAATTTGTTCAAAAGAAGTCTGTTCACTAACACTAAGATTATACTTGACATGCTTCCGATTTGACCATGTCTAAAGTTAATTCCAGAAATTTCTGTAAGAAAATGCCATTAAGGCTTAACATGTCACTTTTTTTATGGTATCTTTCTTTCTCCTCTCTTCATTTTTCCTTTCAGTACTTTTGCCAAGATATTTCTTCCTGAGTTATTATAGCATTTTCCATAACATGAGGATGTTGGTGCAAACTATAGAGTGCAGCCATACACCTTCCGCATTCCATCAATCACCGCATGTCTACACATTTCTCAAGCAAGAGCAGCGAGTGAGATTCATCAACGACCCCCTCTCATGACCCTCCTCTCTTTTACAGGGATGTTTTATGTCCAGTAGGCTTTTAAGCTCTCTGTGATTGATATTTTTACCTCTATTTCTTCATTCTTCCAGGGGCTTCTCATCAAGGTTTCAAGAAAAAATGAGCAAAATTTTGTATCAACACCACAAATTTAAGCATTTGCATACTCCAAGGTCAATTTATGTATTTTGCAGTAGTAGTACACGAGGAAGCGTGGAGACTTCACCTGAATGATTATCTTGGCACATTCATTGCATGGAAACATTGTAACATAAAGCCTCTGCACAGAAATAGAGAGAGAACATACTATTTAGTATTATCACATTAAGAATATATAACCTAAATGACAGATTAATTTTTATTTTTATTAACACTAATAAAAGTTCCGTTTTGGTTTCACAATGATATGCAAACAGAAAGTTCACTATACCAGCATATCCACAAAAAGTTGTGAGAGAGTACATAAACAAAAGCAAGATATGCAGAGAACAAGGTTCAGAATAAAGTTGGATCTAACCTGCCCTGCAGCAGATGCATGATTTGTGTTAAGGATAGCATTGACTTCAGCATGACAAACATAACTGCACGAGAATTAAAATGGACTGACAGCAACTCAGATATGGACAAAATCATATAAAAGTAAAGAAGTTAAGCTGAAGGTTTTAATGAAGCTTCAGCATTAATAATTAGTATGCCGTGGTTATGATAGGCAGGGTATGTCTTTTGCTCAATGCACTCAGTGGCAGCACAAAATGTTATTATTAGATCAGTCAATGACTTGAAATCAATAAAACAGTTCACGAAAGTGAAACACTTACGGATACTTTGTCTCCAGTGGATCCCCGGTCTTGGATTTCTAATATGTGAGAGGATGAATTTGCTGTTAGTCAATCCATAATAATATATGCAATCAATTTTATGTTAAAAAAAATTACCAACCTTTGACCATGGAAGTTTGTCATCTGAACAACCACGTGGAAATCCATTGTAGCCAATGCCTGACCAAAGATAAATTACTTAGAAACAGCAAAATATTGCAACATGTAGAACTTAACTATGATCATGAAATCTTGTGTTTTTTAAAACTCAAGATTACTATAGTAAGTGTGATCAGTATTTTTTACATATAAGACTTAACTCTGACATTTAAGACTTATATAGATTAAGATTCAGTTTGATTATTAGTGTTTCGGAAACTTGACTGAAATAAAATTCAATGAGAGTTATCAACAAAAATAAAATAAATAAATTCCTTGAAAAGATGAAACAGTAGCATGATATACCAGATTTAACATCAGAATGCTCAATACAGGGGGAAGGAGAAACAAAGGTAAAAGAGAACATATAAAAGTGAGGTTTATGCTTCCAATTCCATTATCGATGCAAAGAAATAAGCCCTGACCAAATTAAAAGGCAATAAAAGAGATGGGCTACCTATAAAGGATGCAACCAATTCTTCATGATCCTAAAAGACCGGGACCATTGTTTATGTCTAAAAGTGTCCAGTGTTTCTGCTTTTCTAATTTTCTTCTTCCTTGCCTTTTATTTATAACTGTTACTACCTCCCCACAAATAACACGAGAGAGAGAGAGAGAGAGAGAGAGAGAGAGAGATTCTAACAATAGACAACTCTCTTTCATTCCTAAATTTGCATTGTCCTAGAAACCCATTTAGAAAAGCTGAATTGAGGATACCCAATTGCAAGGACTAATTAAGTTCTCGCTTGCATTTTGTGTAGTTTAATTTATTACATTTCTTCGTTTCCAAATAGCCCCTGATGGCGGTGATGACTGATGATAGGTGGAAGAAGTGTTTCCGTAGCATGCTTTTTCTTCATGATCCTAAAAGACCAGGACCATTGTTTATGTCTCCAAGTGTCCAGTGTTTTTGGTTTTCTAATTTTCTTCTTCCTTGCCTTTTATTTATAATTGTTATACCTCCCCACAAATAACACGAGAGAGAGATTCTAACAATAGACAACTCTCTTCCATTCCTAAATTAGCATTGTCCTATATACCCATTTAGAAAAGCTGAATTGCGGATACCCAATTGCAAGGAGTAACTAAGTTCTCTCTTGCATTTTGTGTAGTTTAGTTTATTACATTTCTTCCTTTCCAAATGACCCCTGATGACCATGATGACTGATGATAGGGGGAAGAAGTGTTTCCATAGCATGTTTTTTCTGGAAGCCAACACTCCATGAAAATTATGGAAAACCTTCAAAGCAAAATTACAGCACATTAAAAGGTAAGTAAAAGGCCCATCAGTAAGCAGACACATGTACAGCAATCAGCAATAGCCATCCCTCAATGAGACCACTAGAAATAAGATTCTATTCTTGGCCACATAGAAAATAGAAATGACACTTGAAAGAAGAGAATATTCCCTAATAACGAATTACCTTTTCCAAATGTATTCAAATTTCTTAAAATAAGAGTTTATCTATGTCTACGGATCCTTCCCAAGAATTAATAGTCTAACAGTTCCACCAACTATGAATTATGAAATTCTTCTGGTTGTAGTCTTGTAGATGTTAACACTGCCCCAAATCAACCATGTGCATCAGAAGACATTTAAAGTAGATATGAAGCATTCTTCTTGATCAACTAATTATATATTTGAGGTTGCCCTTTTTTCTTCTTCTTTTTTCTCCCTCTTGTAAGCAATGTTTTAATATAAAAACTACCAAATATATTGTGTTTTTGTAAAACATATGCTCAGAAGTTAATAGTAAGTGATCTTACCAAGTATTACACCATTTTCACTGACCAAGCATGCACCAACCTGTGACACACACAAATAAAAGGAAAAAAGGAATTTGGTTTCAAGTCAACAGATCAAACTTAGTCGGAAAGAAACTAGATCAGAAGCAGAACACAAGATTGGGGGGGAAGTAAAAGTTAGGAATTCAGGCCTTAATGGTATTCCACACAATTGCAGTGGCAAAGACAATGTCAAAATGCTAAAGAAATGTTGACCATTTTAACTAACATATAAATTGAAATTTCACTCAAACCTTAAGACAACCATTTAGGGAAAATGTATAACTAAATTCTTGAATATATATATATATATATACACTACACAACCATAACGCATCGTTGGTGTTTTACATGTATTATGACAACTGATAAGGAAGCATCACAACAATCAAAAAGCTTAAATAGAATTAGGCCTTTTTTTTTTTTCGAGAAAGGTAAATTCGGCCATTTTTAACATATTCAAATGCCCTTAGGGATTATTTCTGCAAGCAGATAGCACAAAGGAGTCACTTAAAGAACAGATTCAGTTTCCATGAGACGGCAAATACTTTTACTGCCTAAAAATTTGAAAGGCTGCTATGTATTTGTCTAAATACCTAACAAACTTTGCAGCAGTAAACCACATGCAATACACTGGTGGATATCATTTAGAATTTTGGGATATAGGAAATTGCACAAATGCTTTAAGAGAGATCACACACCCACACCCACAACTTGGCTATGAACACCACCCACCCGTTACTCCTTAGTAAAGTAATCATAAAAGCATACTTTCATGTTCACTAATCCCATTCTACAAACTGTATGAAAATCCTTCCTCCTAATGTTATTTTCCTAATTACATCAACAACAACAATCAAGCCTTTTACCCCAACTACTGGGGTTTGTCTATATGGATATTATGTTTCCATTCCGCTCTATTTACAGCCATAACCTCAATCAATCCACATGCTATCATATCCTTCCTTACTAACTCTACCCACATTAACATTGGTCTTCCTCTTCCCCTAGTATTACCCTCAATGTGGACTATGTCACTTTTCCTAACTAGCGCACTTAAAGGTCTTCTTTGCACATGTCCAAATCTTAACCGATTTTCTCTCAGTTTATTTCTAATTCATTCGCATTTTCCACCACAGTCACTTTATGCATATGTTGTTTCGCAGCTGCCCAACATTCTTTGCCATAAAATATGGTTGGACTAATAGCTGTTTGATACAACATCCCTTTCAATCATAAGAAGATACGCCTAACACACAATATACAAGATGCACTCCTCCATTTAACCCATTCTGCTTTTATTCTATGATTAAGGTCATCTCTAGTTTCTCCTTCATTATGAATAATTGAGCTTAAATAGAGAAGATGTTCACTTTTTTGTACCTCTTGAGTCTTGATTCTCAATCCTCACTACATCCTCATTTTTATTTCTAGATTTACTAAAGTTACACTACATATATTCAGTTTTATTTCTACTTATTTTAAATCCTTGTAATTATTCTTCTATAAGTTAAATCATTCTAGAATTACAAATCATAGACATAATCAAATATGTGAATATACAACTACAACCAATAAGAAATGTAATGAGGAACAGGTTTCTATTTAGCCATCTAAGAAAAATAATTTTCTCAATCATTTTCTTTTTCCTAGTTGAAATTCACACCCCAATTTTTGCCCATTATGGGACTTGAACCCTCGACCTTCCACTTAAGAATGTAGAGGAGATCACAAGGTTATAGCCCTTGGTCTTCCTCAATCATTTTCCAAGAATTAAAACAAAGGAAAAAATATATATTCTTGCTTTGATTCATGGTACCTAGGGGTGACAATTCGTGTTCGTGGATCGTATTCGTGTCGTGTCGATATAAGGGTATTATACTAAATAGGTAAATCCAAACCCAACCCATTTAATAATCGTGTCAAGAATCCTTAACACTAACCCAACCCGTTTATTAAATAAATAAACGTGTTAACCCGTTTAATGACCTTTTTATCAAAACGAGACATTTAATATTTAATCAAATACTAAATAATAGAAAAAATTTGTCATAATTAACCCAAATATTCAAAATAAAAAGAAAAATCATAAGGTATAGACAAGATTTACGTTTAAATGACTTAAATATCCATAGTAATTGGATTTAAACAGGTAACATATTATATAGATCATATTCCCAATTATAACATGTTGAGTTAAATAGGTTATAAACGGGTTATACAGGTTGAACCCCTTAACCCTAACCCGACACGGTTAAGTAAACAGGTTAATCGTGTCAACCCTTTTATGACCCAAACCCGTTTATGCCATACCCAAACCCTTTTAACTCGTGTCGTGTTCGTATCGTGTTGTCGTGTCGTAATTTGCCACCCCTTATTGGTACCATCCACCCTCTTTAAAATGTCATAATATGAATAGTATATACATGGTATTCTTAGTTATCAAAAAAAGAAAAAAGAATATTATATATGTGGCACCACACTAGTTAATGCAACTCCATGTCAATTTTGTGCTTACAACAACAAAGGTGCAATCAAAACTGCAAGGTACTTGCTTTGATGCACTGAAGCTTTCTTCTTCCCTTAGCTTACTCAGGAGCCTGTAGGAGGCCCTTAAGCAATGCTTATAAGGTTGGTAATCCTACTAACTGCTTATAACTTAAAATAATCATTAGTCCCTCTATTAAGTGTACTTGATAATACACAATTACTTACCATATAAAATATATATATGTTATTTTAAGAAAGGTCATGGATTTCAAGTCAAATATAAGCAAGTTTTTGTTGTATGTTGTACATTTGGTGGATGGTGGTTTTAAATCTTAATCATAACTTATGAATCTACTCTTGAGGTTTCAATTTCTAAGAATCAAGTTACCTGAAGTGTTCAACACCACTATTTTACTATCAAAAAATTTAGGTGCCAAATGTTGCACTCCAAGAAATTGCTGAGAGACACAAAGACTATTATGCACCCCATAATCCCCATCATGACCATCCCCGCCTTAACCCATATGAATGGGGTCGGGCACATGAATTCTCATTTTTCATTCTTTTCCATTACAAGCAGGCACTCCATGATATAGATGTGTGTGTATATATATAGACATACACATTGATTCAAGAAGTGAAGTACAGCAGATTTTTTTCTTTTTTTTTCCTCCCTGAAGCACCAAAAAATCATTTATACTTATCAAACAGCATATTGTATATATAGTTTCACAATTACAGGGACCAGTGAGACAATGTGATAAGGGCCGAAATGATTTTACTTGGTAAAACAAATCATAAATTAATATGTTTTCACATCAAAAGTAAGCATAATATCCTTCCACTTTTTCAGTACTCTTCTACATAAAATGAAGAACAACAGAACCCCAAAAAAAACATAATAGAACAACTATATATGACCTGCCTGTTGGGATCCTTGGACCTTTCAGCTGACAGAAATGCAATTGCCATGAAATAGTCATCCCATGACAAATACCTGCATCCAAACATGATCTATAAAAACCCTCGCTCTGTTGCTTTGCTCACAAACTAAAAGGGCATAATAACCAAAAACAATATATATTATTTTTTAACTGGATTAGATATATATATATATATATATATATATATATATAAGACAGTATTAAGACTTGTTAACTTATCTCCTTGACACTGAGTATTTTATTTTTTGGTTGAGTAAGCCTCATAAAATTATTTACTTAAAAGCTGCGTATTTCATATTTTCTGAGAATTTTTCTTTGGTTTTTCTAGGGAATCAAATAGCGCTTAAAATGATAAAACAGTTCTACAAGAATATTCAAGTATTGAATAGTATAAACTCGTAAAGGCGTTACTGGAAAAATAAAAGGACATAATATCTGAAAACAAAATCTATTATTTCGTTTTAAAAAAAAAAAAAAAAAATTTGAATCTTTAAAATAAAAAGGTAAAAAAATTAGAAACTAGCTTGACTAAGCTTTAAAAAGTGTTTCATTTTCTCTGAAAGTGAGCCACGTGAAGTCTCCTTTAAGTTAATTTATGGGTTTTTCTTTCCTTCACTTTTCCCGGAAACCAAACAGAGCTTCAAATGAACTTACAAGAAGATTTTAAGTACGGAGTATTAAATAGTATAAAATCAGCATTATTGACTAACCCTTTGCGTTTGGAGGGATCGAAGGGGCTATGAGTATGCGATGAAGTGATCTTCTCAGGTACGTCGTCGTGGAGTGACGAATCCATTCGAGAGAATTGCTTTTTGTTAGGGTTGAAGAAAAAACGGGTTGCGATTGCAGATACTACAGCGCCGAAGAGAGAGGCCGTTGAGATCAAAGCCAGATCTCTCGAGTTCATGGTGTTGGGTCAGTTACGAAGCAGGTTGTAGAGAGATAAACTATGAGGAGCGAGAAAGTGAGTGAAGCCAATGGCTCTCTCTCTCTCTCTCCTCTGTTTTTCTCCGCGAAAAATGAAAGGGGAAAAGTTGAGAGAGAAAAAGATGAAAAAATGTAGCGGGAAAAAGTTGGAAAATGTGCACTGCTGCTTTTGTTGAGGGACCCGTTCATTTGATCACGACGGGAGTGAAATGAAATATACTACTAATAGTGTGAATTTCTACATTTGGATTGTCAAAAAAATAAAACAGTTTTGTTGTGTTTTATATACTGAAAGGAGAAGAAGAAATAAATAAATAATTATATTTTAAAAAAAATAAATAAATAAATAAATATTTAGAAGAGTTATACACTTTGCCATATGAAGTTTCGAGTCACGTAACAAACACCCCTCGGTCCCCTTTTATAGCCTAGTAGTATTTTCTCGTTAATGGTTTAATTCTTCATAGACATACAAAAAAATAAAGAGTCGTGAGATGATTTTGGCCGATTTGTTAGGGAGAATCCTACTTGCTAGTCCAAGAAAAAAAAATATATGTGTGTGCAATCCATTCATCTTCCCCTCTCTTTTAGACTAGACAACGGTTACACCACGATCTTCTGGGTCTTCTTTTCCCCCTTTTTCCTATCTTTCTCTCTCTCCAACTTCATCGGTGTATAGTATGATGCAGGTGCAAGCAACGTGGGCGTCTTTGGGTGATATTGGTGCGAATAATGCTACACATGCATTCAATAAGTATGAATTATCAACCTCATTAATGGACTATCCACATAACTACTCAACATTGTGGTATAATTCATCAAGAATGAGTATAATTCATCAAATTCTATAGCAAGTGTATCCAAATTAGCACAAATGTAAGGTCATCCTTAAACACAATTACAAAGAGCATTCAAGGTAGAAATCAATCGTAATTCATCCAAATACAAGACAAAATGAAGAGAATAAAAAATTGATATAGAGATAAAGCATGCCATTGCTTGGTACAACCAACAAAGAATTCTCTAGGCCTAGTAATTATACAATTACAATTTCCCCCAAAAATAAAGTTATGAGTTATAATTACATAAGCTTAGGGTTCATCCGAACCTTAAATGGAGAGTTTAGCCGGCCATGGAGAAAAGGAAGACAGTCTTCAAGATGAGAACAACCAGTTCCAATCTCAGCTCCATCTCTGCCTTCTTCTTCTTGTGTGTTGAAACCCTAAAGAGACAAAGTGTGTAGAGAGCCCCCAATTTGATCCCAAATGTGTATATATGAAATTGGGGATACAAAATCTATTTATAGTTGACTTTGATTGCCCAAATAAGTTAGACCCCGTACACCAATGTTAGTTATATCGTGCACCACGGCTTGGCCTTCAAGAGGGCTTGTTTCTGAAGTTTTAAAAGATTCTCAACCCACTCGATCTGTCGAGACTCGATCGATCCAGCTAAAGGCTTGATCGATCAAGTAGATCACTTTTCTATAGCTTTTTTCCTTTTTTTGACCCTTCCTCTTTGCCAATACTTTAGTCCTAAGTACCTAGAATCAGGCATAAAGCAAATTAATACTAAGACGAGAAAATAAAGATAGATCAATGTTCTAATATATCCAAGGTTAAGGGCTAAAATGTGCATATTTAAGCATTTATCACACCCCTAAACTTAAATATTGTTAGTTTCTTTACAATGAGCAAAGAAAGAAATAAAAGCAATTATAATAAGTAATAAAATAAATAAATAATGAAACAATAAGAGGATTGTAACAACCCAAACCCGGGGTCCGAATCGTTAACCGGATCCTAATCCGACCTAGGAACACCCAAGGGTAAAATGGTCATTTTGACCAATACAGTGTACTAAAGGCCATAATAAAGTCATAATGGTCATTACTAATCAAATTGATTCACTTACGGATGAAAGAATCAACTCCGTCCTCAAATTGGTCTACCTAGGATTACAAAGGTAATTTGGTCCTTTTGGACCATGCAGCGCATTGGGGACCTTACAACTATCATCTAGGTCATATTTAGTCACTCAGAGTCATTTGTAAATGAAAGAAAATAAATTGGTTCGACGTCACCCATTTTAGGGCTAAAAAGGGTAAAAATGTCATTCCGGGCCATTCCGCTCGCATTTTGGGGGCCATAGTGATCTAAGCCCTCTAAATACCCAGTGGGACCCATACATTGAAGCTCGGGGCCAATGAAAAACTTTCAAAAAAATAGTACCTAATTTTTAATACGAAGCACTCTGTCGACGTCCTCAAAGCGCTCGGAAGGTGCCACGAGCACCCCAGCGCATGCCCCGAACGCTCAATGGACATCCTCGGAGCGTTCAATGGGCACCATGAGAGCGCTCGAGGTATGTCTTGAGCACCTCAGCGTGCAATTCAAGCATTCGCAGCTGAGCAGAGAGCACTCAAATAAGCCTATAAATGGGTTTTCGCCACTTTTTGCCCCCGTTCGTGATCCCGAACACCTATTTGGTCATTTTTTACCTCCTTGCCCCTACTCCAACTCACAAGCATGCATAATACAAGCTAATGAAATTAATGCATAAATTTAAAACATTGAGATACATTTTTAAGTCATCTTTCATTTCAAATCTTTAAAGTATGAACATAGTCGCAATTCTCATCAATTACATGTCTGAAATGAACCGAAAGTAGTTCGAAATATTATAGATACAAGTATAGACCCTTACGACCACAATTACAACACTTTACATCAATTTAAGCACGTGATACAAAATATTACAAAATGGTACTTCCGTCAATCCTAACTACACTTGTGAGGGTCCATCCTCAACTGCGCCATTGTCATAGCCTGAAAAATGTTAATGAAAAGGGTGAGCACGGAGGCTCAATAAAAAATGCCTAAGGCGCCAACTTTGAACTCCCTTGAGCCACACATCACACATTGGAGATTAAGAGAAACCGAGATCATGCTTTGGGGAATTTTATAGCATTTAAACCACAAACTAATATCATCAATAGCATTGATACAACTTTGTGCACTACGAATGCAAATGCAATGCAATGCATACCCATTTCTGAACGTAGTCTCAAACCGACCCCAATTCCCACTTACATTAACCGACTTTACCGAGGCGAGATTGATACTATCCCTGGCCTTATTTTGTTGATCATTTAGAACCTAGTACCAACATTACACGTCCTACACCGGACCATGCTCCCTCTAGTTTAAGTTAGCACCGAGCTCATGATACTCGATCCATTTCTAAATTTATTTTTTTCGCCCATTCTAAGATGGCTTACTTTTCAATCTTATTCGACTTTGTCACCCTTCTAAGATGACCTAATGTGTTTCTCATTCAATTGTCCTACCATGCCATGCATGTGATTTAATTGCATCAAATTAACTTCAATTTCATATTTTTGACAACCATGGCATAGGGCGCAAGGAGGCAAACACAACTCACAATGTGAACCCAATTTTCAGATAGGTTTGAAGAAAGATTTTGAGTTTTAGGCAGAACAGATGTCGGAAGATCAGCAATGCATTTTTATGTGAGATTTTCAGTAAGCGCATAGAGGGAAAGACAACTCATCTTATGAGCGAAATATGGAAGCAAAAATGCAACCATTTGCAATTGGAATTGGAGAAGCGGAATGCCAAGAAAGTGCACAATCTGTTAGTGCCAAAAAGGATATAAGCATAACATTTTCTAGAATTCAAGCACAAGCATGACATTTTATTGAAACCAACCACAAGCATGCTCATCATAGAATTTCACATCATCCCAATTCATGCTAGCATTTACATTTCATGTAATTCTACACTAAAACAACATCATATACTTCATTAGCATGAAAAGAACACACATTTGCCCATATGATAGCATGATTTCTCCACATAAACATATCACTATCATTTTAATCCACAATTTAACACCTAAGGATGAATTTAAGAGAATTCAAGCAAGGGTGTTCAATGAAAGACAAAGTTTAAAGCATTAGAAATCCCTACCTCTAAGTGCAAGCCAAACAAGCCTTAAAGCAATCCCAAATTTTGAAATCCCCAAACCCTTTAAATATTGGTGTCGAATGATATCCCTTGCCATGCTCTCTAACTTCTCATTCTATGGCTTCATTAAAATCTCATTCTAAACCTTTCAAAAATGGCCTGGAAACCTTGAAATATATGTGTATAGATAGATTTAGAGCGAGAAAGAAAAAAGGAAGAGAGTGAAGGCCCTTGGCCGAGAATAAAGAGGAAACAAGGGTTAGCCTTGTCTTCCAAACCCCAAATGTGGTTCTCCAAGTGCCACATGTCAACCTATGGTTGATTCCCACTTTTGGCAAAATTACCCCTTTGCCCTTGTCCTTCCATTGCAATGCCTTATCTATCCCCAAAATATCTGCCTTAATGTATAGATATATGTGTATGTATATATGTGTGGAATGGCCTCCCTCAATGAAAATGGCAAAATCGGGAGAAATTCATGAGCCCAAAAATTGTCCTGAATTTCCAAAAATCCTAAAAATAATCCCGTCACTTCTAAATGACTTAAAATAAATAAAAATACATTTCTAAAACCCTCGGCTCAATAAATGACCTAAATAGCCCTCGGGGCCAGCGTGGCACACAAAACGAGGCACGAAAAATAAATAAAATAAAATAAAATATTTAAAAAATCCAGAAAATTCAGGGACATTGCAAAAATAACTTCGTTTTCGTAGGGATTACGGTTGCATTTAGCCTATACAATAAGACTTTTAAACCCCTAGGTTACTCCATTTATTTATAAGAGTTTTACTATTTATTATATAAACTTAACAAACCCCTTCTCCTCCAAACGCCCCCACACCACCGAGGTTGTAGTTTAGTGGAATTTTCTCACTAGAAGGGAGAGTTCAAGTCCTCATGGAGGCCAAATGGATGTGTGACTTTCTTGTCAAGGTAAAAATAAATAAAAGTACATAAACCCCCTTTCCCCCTTAACCCCAAGTAAGAACCATTTTTTGTAAACTTATATGCTAGCAAAAAATAAAAATAAAAATTGTGTCAAGTCCCGTATTAAACCCCCTAATCAAGTCCAATTAGAGCAAGTATGAGCTGTGTTATGAAAAGTTGGACCAGTCCAAGAAAGCT